ACTCACATCCAGCTAGTTCCGAGATCAAGAAAATGTGGTTCTGTACATCCACTCCTCCATACGCCTTCATTGCGTAGTGCTTAATTAGTTACGCACAGGGACAGCTTTACCTTTACCTCACCTATCATCTTCATCATCGTCATCGTCGTCGTCGTCGGCAAAACAGCCCTCTTTAGGTATACTTAGAAGGTTTTGCCAGAGTTGTAGACCATCTGGTTTTCATTTCTTTGCAACAGGTGTCTGTATTTATGTGGCCCAGTTGTACCCCCAGGCACAGGGACACCGGGTTCCCTTTTCGTCGCCTTCTTCAACTCTCAGGGCTGCGGTGGATGTATTCCAACCCGCCTCCACACGTTGATCTTAATAACATACTTTTATAGTCTTCTTGGTATACCAACTGACCCTGTTTCAAAAGATTTTCTCACCAAAACTATGTATGCATTTCACTGCCAACCCTGGCAATGTAACATTGCAGATTTCACTACGCTTGACAGTAAAATGCAACGGCATAAATCATTTTATTCCCTTGTTGCACAGTTTTTCTGTCCAAAATATTTCGGTTTGTGGCTTTCAGGGTGCTTGAATCACCTGCACATCTTGACTGAATAAACTCGATCCCCTGTAGTGCTGATGTCAAGAAAGGTAGAGTCATACCTCCACTCCCCCACACGTCTTCATGGCATGCTGCTTAATTAATTAAACGCAGAAACAATTGTACTTTTCTACCTTTTTAGAAGTGTACAATACTAGCTGAATTTACTAGTTAAAATGCCCATCTGTCTGTCCGTATGGCTTTACAGCCCTTGTGGACCTTGGTCACTTTTTCCGTTTCTTAATCATATACACAGTCGGTAGGACTCCTTGGATGGGGGAACAGCTCGTCGCAAGCCCGCAGCCTACACACAGAACAACACAGACACACAATAAACGCACACAGACATCCATACCTCGAGTGGGATTCGAACCCACGATCCCAGTGTTCGAGCGAGCGAAGACAGTTCATGCCTTAGACCGCGCGGCTACTGTGACCGGCAGTGTATAAGAATAATATATAAGAATTCAGTCCGTACTTCACAGGAAACAGATCCGAACCCACGATCCCGGCGTCCGAGCGAGCGAAGACAGTTCATGCCTTAGACCGCGCGGCTACTGTGACCGGCAGTGTATAAGAATAATATATAAGAATTCAGTCCGTACTTCACAGGAAACAGATCCGAACCCACGATCCCGGCGTCCGAGCGAGCGAAGACAGTTCATGCCTTAGACCGCGCGGCTACTGTGACCGGCAGTGTATAAGAATAATATATAAGAATTCAGTCCGTACTTCACAGGAAACAGATCCGAACCCACGATCCCGGCGTCCGAGCGAGCGAAGACAGTTCATGCCTTAGACCGCGCGGCTACTGTGACCGGCAGTGTATAAGAATAATATATAAGAATTCAGTCCGTACTTCACAGGAAACAGATCCGAACCCACGATCCCGGCGTCCGAGCGAGCGAAGACAGTTCATGCCTTAGACCGCTAGGCTACCGTGACCGGCAATTAAAATGCCCGGACTACAATAATATGTGAGCCAAACCGTCTCAGACTTCAAAACAAGATAACAGTGAACGCAATTGGAATGAGAAAAAGCGAAGGAAAGCTGTCATATTATTCAGAGCACACGTTTGGTGCGGCCAGCCGCCTGCGAAAAGAGAAGGCATGATGGATACTTCGATGTGTAAGCCAAAAAAACAAAGAGCTCGTAGCGTAATCGAACGTTTTCGTATTTATGCGCACCTGAACGACGCTTATGGAGAATGCGCACAAATCCACATTTGAAGTTACTGCGCATAAACAACACAGCGTAGCGTAACTTTGCGTAGTAATAAGCACATTGGATCGTCACGCGTCAGTTCGCCATAGCGACATCACAGTTGTACAACGAATATTGATGCTTAAGTATGAATATAATTACGTAAATGATTTTAATGACGTTGTTCGGTATTATTATTATTATTATGGCTCTACAGCCCTTTTGTTGGGCCTTGGCCGTTTTTTCGGTTGCTTGATCCAATACACAGGCGGTAGGACTCCTTGGACGGGGGATCAGCCCGTCGCAAGGCGCTTCCCTACAGACAGAACAACACAAACACAGAATAAACGCACACAATACAGACATTTATGCCTGGAGTGGGATTCGAGCCCACGACTTCCAGTGTTCGAGTGAGCGAAGACAGTTCATGCCTTCCACCGCGCGGCTACTGTGATCGGTCGTTGTTCAGTTTCGGGGCTGTATTGCATGGACGATTAATGAATATGAAAATGCAAGAAATACATTCCTCCGAAACGTCGGTGAACTTCTGCATGGCGTTACATTCGAGAAAATAATGTTCTTCATAGTTAACGCTGTGAAAACCTGAGTTCCAGCATGGTAATTGTCTTGATATGTAATTTAATATACGTGCTTCAAGAATATGTATTAGCGGTAATGAAGAAGAGGCGAGAAGACGCGGAAACTATGCATTGTTTCACCATGTGCGCAGCCATGTGTGGTCTCCGGCTCTGTGATCTGGAATGCTGACGGGAGGCTGCCGCCTCTGGAATGCCTCATCTCGTATGATTCACCCCTCTCTGCCTCTTGAATTGTAATGACCGCAGTCGGTTGACTTAAGGAGGACACACTCAGCCACCTTCCACGAACGGCACAGCAGTAAACTAAACGTAATGAAATGTAATGTAAGATATGCTTACATTTGGAAGGTTCAGAATCTCAAATAACACAGCGACAACGCAGAAATCGGACGTTGCTGTCGAGGGAGAAACTCCGGGTTCATATCTCGGCTCGGAGACCGCCTGTCATGTATGAGTATTTTCATGGTTTTCCTCAATACCTCCAAGTAAATGCAGTGATGTTACAGACAATGACCGTTTCTTTCTACATTGTGTCCAGACATCATGCACCATACATATTGTTATTCGAAAATATTTATATATATATATTTGTTAAATAAATAATAAATAAGACATTAGAGAATCCCTGATAATGTAATGACTGATATTGATGTAGAGCTCGATTACCATGTGATGACACCTCCGTCTGGTGCAGAGATTAAGGATGGTGGAACTATACTTCTACTCTCCAATACGTCTTCACGGCTTCGTGTTTAATTAATTAAGCACAGGGACAATTTTACCTTTACTTTGGTTTAGACAATTTGGTTTGATGGCTGATTAGTTTGTTTAAACAATGTATAGATTCCTCCTTTGTTGGAATTATGGGTAATTGAGATACTGTCTGTTCCATGTTCTTCTCATACATTGGCTCCAAAACTGCTACAGCGAAACACCATGTTCATGGAGCTGGGCCTAGGTGTTCCGCCACTGACAACGAGCAGTGACTGCCTTTTCCCCTATTTCTCAGTTACTCGATAGGATTTTCTGAATTATCCCAAGCTCTTGTACATACAAATTTGTCTATCATTTGTCTCTTATAGGCGTGATTTTGTAAACAAAAAAGGTAAAGCTATCCCTGTAACAGGCCGTGGAGGCCCATAGGGTTGTGAGACGTCGAGGTTCCCATATTTTCTCTACACAATCGGCTCATAGATGGGGGTAAGGTTTTCATCTCGTTTATCCCCAGGAAGATACCTGTTACTCATTTCTGTTAGAGGCTGAGTCGACCCCAGGGTCATAGTGCGGCTGGAAGAAATATGTCAATTGAAAATTCCAGTGACTTCACCGGGAATCGATCCCGCGACCTTCCGGCTTTTATTATGCTGCTGAGTTCAGCACGTGAATAAACAAAGACTGAATTATTATTATTATCATGATAATTACTGTTATTGTTGAGATGTGCAGGCCGTAAGGCACTTTCCGATACCAATGTTTTTCGTAATTCGCTTGATGGCATTAAAAGTCAAAACCTGAAGGCGTTCTGCAGAGAGTAACTTGACTTCCAGGTGCTGCACGAGCTCAAGTGTTTTGGACAGCCAGCGAATATGCATAAATCAGTCATCAGCCAGCCCAAAGAAAGGATTCTGTATCCTTTATTAGGTCGAATCCTATCTAGTCGTTTCAGCATAATGTAGACATCCGAGCACTGAACCATTTATTGTACACCTAAGAAATCTCAATTATTCCTGCATGAGGCTACTGTTGCACAGCCTCAGAGGAAGAAAAGACCTGAATACCAAAAGGAGATGGTTTTCCTTGGCTGACTCAAGAACATCATTAAGAAAGAACAGTTTTGAAGTTGAAGTCACATTGTATAAGAGGCTGGCAGTTCAATTATAAAGAAGAAGAAGAAAAAAAATCATAACAAATCAGTTGTTTGATCAATGCAGAGAGATTTTCTACGGTCAATTCTCTCCTTCGAGAAACATCTAAGGAGTCAATTCGTGAGATGGCGGGTCACTACAGGAGCAAGAACCAAATTATTTTTTTTTACTTCGTTACAGGAGTGGCAGACATTTTTGTCTGTCAGACACGAATAGAAGCATAAAAGTCAATGAACTAGGAACGTTTAGTTATACCTTTCTAAAATTTTCAGATTTTTACACGTCATTTATTTCTAGAATGAGAATAACCGTAATCCCATTAACAGCTTCTCAATGTCAAGATGTTTCGATTTCACGAAATTTATATACAGACTACTTTATTAAGGCATGTACTCTAAGGCAGCGCCATAGCTCAAGCAGTTAGTCACTGGCTTCCCACCGCGGCAGCCCGGATACGATCCCGGGTCTGCTCAAATGGGATTTGTGGTGGACAAAGTGGCGTTGAGGCAGGATTTCTCCGAGTACTTCGGTTTCCCCTGCCAATCTTCATTCCACCAAACTCTCCATCACCATAATCACCCAGGGCAGGTACAATAGGCCAATCAGTGGCCGCCGTGGCCGAGTGGACCCAGCTGGACTCCACCTCCCACTAAGCGAATTAAAAAAAAATTACGTTAAGTAACCGGCAATCCGGCCACATCGACTTCCTTATTTGATTCGTATGTTTCCTCTGTTCACAGTTGCACGTGGAATCATCATTGGGGTGTTCAACAACGAAGTTCTAGCCAGAAGCGAAGTGTCAACTCGAGTCACCGCGGTGTATCGCCAGCTTCAGCCGGTATTCAGGCTTCGCAACGTAACGCTTCAAACAGAACACAGTGATTTAGAGACGTTCTCATTCGTAACAAATGCGCTTGTTGATTCTTCTTCCTCGACAGGCGGGAACACAACCCAGAACTCCTACATGCACAGGTATCTATATGGCACCTTATATGTTCCTATTCACTGTGGCGCGAAACACGGACCAGGTGAATTTATCTTCATGGGAAGATTTATTCTAGACGATCCAGTGCTTACGTGTGCCCCTAGAATAGAGGATTGGCTACAGGCTCGAAGAATGGCAGCTCAAGATGGCAGTGTACAGTGTTTGCTAGAGACATGACGTCAGTCTGCGCGTGGTCTTAAATTCATAGTTCCTCAAGTATATTTCGTCCTGGTTCTGACGCAAGCAACGCCACGAAAACTTACCAAGGAACGCTACTGTAATTAAGTGTTCGGTTACTAGAGGGCCCCCTTCATGCGGAATGTTAACTGCAGATAGAGAAGGAAGGATTAGAATGTTGTTTCGTGGAGTTCAGAATTCCTGCACATCCTACCCCAAGACGTTAAGACTTATCTAGTGAGAAATATTATTACTCATGTTTTAGGGGAACGACGACACTTTGCTTAAAATTATTTTGGACTTCTTTCATTGTCCAAGTTTTTTTTTAACCATTACGTTACGAAAAATTGACCGCCTCTGTGATCTAGTGGTCAGAGTTCCTGGCTACAGATCCAGAGGTCTCGGGTTCGATTCCCGGCGCTACCAGATTTTTTGTGAGAAGTAGTGGGCCTGGAACGGGGTCCACTCAGCCTTGTGATGATAATTAAGGAGCTATTTCAAGGAAAATAGCGGCTCCGGTCTGGAAAACTGAGATTAACGGCCGTGGGGATTCGTTGCGCTGACCACGCGATATCCTCTATCCGCTAAAGTTGGCACTAACTTTGCCGACAAGCGGCGGTCGCTCTGTTGGTATAATTCGCTTGCGGACTAGAACTACGTTACAAAAAATTATTCTATTTCGTCTTCAGGTGAATGTGGTTTGAGAGTAACTCTACTAAGGAGCCCAGCAGGTAGGGTTCCTTTCATGTCCTATATTATCTAGAGGTGGAAGTGGAACCAGTTTCCGAAATTTAATGTTTTTTAAAAAGCTCGGACGTTGGATAGAGCCCGAAATAATAGTTTTAAAAAGAAATATTATTGTTGGATGCCGTCTTGTAAATCATGTTTATCCCCGAAGACTTAAGAGTACTTTATGGATAAACAATACCGAATTCCCGTAACTTAATGCTTTCTTTTGCCGTAAACTGTAGAAGTTCTCGTGTTAACAAACTTTCATATTGTGATCTTGTGGGTTACTGCCCCCTTTCGTGTGGGAGCCTTCCAGTATTATTGAGAGTGGACGTGAGTTCCTTGTTCTCGCCAACAAACACTATAATCTCGGGAGTGTATATTCTTCATGGCAATTACAGCGAAAGAATTCTCAGTGACTGGAAAATTTATGTTAAGGACGACAAGAGATGGGGACTGGAGGATTGGACAGGTCTTGGAATGTGAGTGCCAAGGCACATCAACTGTGATAAGATTCAGGCTTCTGTGTGTCTGCGGAACTCAGGAAGTGTTGTGAAGTACGTTGCATGGAGGTTCTCATGGCAGTGACTGTGAAGCATTGCATTCTTCTGGGATGTGATTCCACGTAGTTCGGAGAAAGACCAGTGGTTCCAAGGAACGTATCGCTAACCAAATTCGGGGTCAAAGGGTAACCCAAGCTCAGCTTGCCGCCTGTTTACTGGTTTCATGCTTCAATCCCGAAATTCGAGACGATGTGTTTCTGCGAAGCGTGTAGCTATCTCCCAACTACACGGCGTCATAACCCAGAAGACTGTATTCTGTCGTATGAAATAATTCTTGCAGACTTGATGAGAACCCATTTTCGGTTGAAGCTGAAAGAAAATTTGTTCTGATTTCTTTCATGTTTGGGAAAAATTGTATCTGTTACACGTCCTTCGTGGTATTGGAAAATATTTCACCTTCCTTTGCATCACACTGGGCTATTATTACGGAACGCTTAACTGAAACAGAATTTCACAGACCGCAGTACAAATATTACTGGTGAATGATGCATCCTTGCAACGGCCGTGTTATAAGCTCAGGCGGTTAGTAGCCGGCTTCCAACAGCGGCGGCTCGGGTTCGAGCCCGGTTCAGGCCGTGTGGGATTTGTGGTGGACAAAGTGGCAGTGGGGCAACTTTTCACCCAGTATTTCGGTTTCCCCTACCAATTCTCATTCCACTGACTGCTCCACATTCATCATCTACTCGTATCATCCGGGGCTAATACAATAGGGCCGTTAGTGGCCGCAGTACGAAGTTGACTCAGTCTCACCCACCCTAAGAAACTTAAAAAAAAAAAAACACATTTCACGTCCATACCAAATAACTAGCAGAAGTGTCTGCTAGGAAATGCATTAAGTTGCTCCGAAGTTGCAAAATGTTTGTGTTACGTTACAAACTGTTTATCCTAACCTTAACGCTTCAAGTTTAGAATAATGCCACTGCAAATGCCACATATTTGATTAGATTTCAGTAATCTTAAGATGTTCAAAATTAATTGAAGTAGATTTACGTCAAGAGGAGCCAGGAGTTGGGCGACTGCATCAATTTCTGCCGCTTTTACCCGTAACTATGAATACATAGCGTGACAGATACATTCCCCCCCCCCCAAAAGACATNAGACATTTTTACGTTAAGTTGTATGTAATATCATAACCTTCAATCTCACGTTGTCTTTTAATACATAATTTTCTACGTTCCGGTGTTTCATGTTCGAACATATATTTTAGGAGGTACGAGCTTTGGAAATGAGCTACACATACTTAACATACAGAATTACTGGCTTTTTTGGACTTTTTTTTTTCATCGTCCGGTTTTCTAGAAAAAAGAAAACACGACGTTTCGTAAACTGTATCTGTTTCCGTCCTCAGGCGAAAGGGAAAGAAGACACTCAGTTGGGCCCCTTCGCCTGAGAACGGAAACAGATCGAGTTTACGAAACGTCGTGTTTTCTATTGTCTAGAACACCGGACGAAGGAAAAATAGAAAAAACAGTAATTCTGTAATTCGTCAGAACCCTTTAGAATCTGCGTATTTAACATGTTTAATGTGTATGTTTGCTAAATGATTAGACTGAATTTCATCTTATGGGCTCATAAGTCCAAAAGTAGTGCCTACAGAAAATATTTTCTAACTGTTAATCGTGTTTCTTATTTTACGTTTGTGAATATATTTTCTTTTCTGACGATGTTAATTTGTAAAGAACAAACAGAAGAAACAAAATGGCTGTCATGATTATTTTTTTATTCCTTTTATTACCATTTACTCCCATGTTTTAATTACAACTGATTTCCTTTCATCTACAATTAATTAAAAATCTTATTTTGTTTGTGTTTTCTGAACATTTTATTTTATTTTTATCGATGGATCCAACGATACAACGCACGCAGCCACAAGAGTAGAACACACCATAAGACACAATATACACACAACATTAGAAATATAAGAAGAACGACCCCCCCGTGGATGATTAATAATACATACGAATTTAAAATTTGGCACATGAGATAATAGGTTTTAACAAGTTTTAAATACATAAACTTTATTATTATATAAGGACATATACAAATTTAATATTATTTGTAAATGGACATATAAAGGCAAGCAGTGAAATGGTTGACGGATCGATACACCTGAAGATGGCAGCATACTGCCGAAACATGTAGTGTAGAAGTGGTACATGGGCTTGTATGCACTTGAAGACTGTTAATACATACACATTATGAATACGATGGATAATGTCCAGAAACATAATATTTGTACAAATGTACCATCGTCACAAACTTTAGATCTTAATTTCTCGAGCTCCTGTGTGTAAATGTGTCTGTACATAACCAAATTCTGCCGATCCTACAATTCAAATCGTAGTATGTACTTATTTTATTGCGGTTAAATGCAATGGAAGAATATTAATCCATCTTAAAAGTCGTGTGGATTCAAGAGTATGACTTTGATTTTGTAAGTCACTAAAGTTCGTCTTACTTTGTACAGTAAAAATAATTTTGTTGTCATGTTAAGAAATATGTTGTAATACTTGTTACAGAATTCAGAAAAGCTGACACATTGTTCATTCTGAATAATTTGAACGTTGAACTATAAGAAGTCGAATAAGAAAGCCAGTTCAGTCCATAGCGAGCGGTTTGAATGACAAGAACCTAGTGATAATTTAAGGTAAGACTGTCCAGACTTTAGACACTTGTTGTAGACACCATAAACTAAAAACTACTTGTAGTTCTTTAAAAATATTAAAATTGTTATATACTGAAATTGAGTTAATGTAGTTTAGTTGTGTATGTTGAGAAATAAATCCACAGTTTGTTAGTTCCGGCCTAGAAAACCGAGATTAACGGCCATGGGGATTCGTTGCACTGATACCTCTATCCGCAAAAGCTGGAACTAACTTCACCGACAAGCGGCGGTCACTCGGTCGGTATAGTCGGTAAAGGCCACGGAGTTTGTTCGTCAATGTAAAAAAAAAAAGTAAATTTAAATTTTGTCTGGTTATGGCCTTAAATTTATTTACATAATCCGTCTGTGAGTACACGTTGTTCTTTTATTTATTGTTGTGGTAGTTACAAAGAGAATTGGACTGAATGTACTTTTTAATTATCTTCGAACAGATATAAAGCAATATCCGTTCGTTTCAGTATAATGTGTCGTGTTGCCTTGCATGTTTTCCGTCTTGTCTCCTACGAAACAAGAGTCCAGCATTTATATTTCACAAAATTTACCATTTTATTTGCAAGTTCTTATATACTGAATACGATTGTGTTGTCTGACTGTTGATAATGCATAATTATAAACTAGCTTAACTAAAATGTGATTATGTTCGCTTTATTTTATGCGCCCATGTTTGGAAAATGTAGTTTTGTTGTAAGGTGCCATATCTTCTCTTTTTTGTTGTTGATGAAGATAGAACAAATGGGATTTTTATTCCACCAGTTCTCATACACATAAAGGCCTGTATATAACGTGTGTTTTGAGTGATATAATAGTTTGCCTCCAAATTATTTTGTTTTTCTTTATGGCATACTGAGACCACGGAAAGAAGTCCCATGGGTGGAAGGGATAACTGCGCGTAAGTCTTGCCCCTATCTTCCTGTTCCCCTCCAGCCACATGTCAACCAGTCAAATCCGCTTGTCCCTAGCCAAAATCACGTGGCTACCACTACCAGTATACCTGTGAACTAGTACAGCAGACGACACTACTGGAGAGGGAAATGTAAGGGCTTTGAGGGATACGGGGGGATGAATCCATGGGACATCTTTCCGCGGTCTCAGTATTATGCTCCAATATTTTGTTTTCTATTTGCTTATAGTGATATCTTCTTACATATACCTTCGCGTTAGTTACAATACTCGCTGAATAGAGTGCACAGGACGTATTAGTGGAGCGGTTAGCATTTGGGCTTATTACTATGGACGTCACATAGCGTTTCCCGTGGAATTCCTCAGTTCTTCTAGGCGGAATCTGCGATAGTAACTTAAAACCGCACATCATGGCCCACCGTATGATAAAAAGCTGCCCTTGCTCATCTGTAGGCATATCTCTCTCTACCAGCTCAACTTACATTATTATTATTATTAT